GCAGGTTGTGGCCAGCTGCCCGATTTTCCCCCCCGAAAACCGCACCTGGATTCATCGACATCTTGTAACTGTAGACTGTAGGCATCATCACAGCCAAGCAGCAGAGCATCCCGGTGATTCCTCCCGAAAGAGAGTGCCATGTAAGCGCTGATGAGAGAAGACTCATCAACATGATCGTCATCATAGAAATTGCCACACGCATCATCATCACCGTCGTACCATCAATAACACAGCACCGTTCTAATTTCGTCCTCACTGCGTTCGCTACCATCAGAAGCATTCACTTTTGCCGATGCGATCACATCAGTCATCATGGGCGCTGTCATCATTAGCAACCACGACAAAAACAATTATTTATTGGACGCTGCGCGAGCGAGCTCAGCTAGTAGCGCGCGAATTGCTACTGCCATAGCACCAGGCTGTACAGAAATCAGAGCTCTGGAGACAGAGTGTGAGAGCCAAAATCAAGGCTTTTGCGGGCCGTTGTCTCGACCATGATTCGCATGGTCAACATTGCCCTGTTGAATACATAGAAAGCCACTACTGTACATAGATACAAGATGGGCAGTCCCTGCGCCGTCGCGTGGAAGCTGCTCTTCCGAGAGAAGGGATTTTAGCATGATCGGGATCTTCGCGCACTGAAACTGCCTCCGTCACCCTGAGTGTGAGCCAACACGTCCGATGCTCACGAACCAAAGTCTCGGGAGAGCCGTAAAACCTCAGCCAGTGCCTGCTCCAGCAGTTCTCGCAACGAAGGGTTTGGGAGAGCTGCTTCGGAAGGACCCTTTTGGAGAACTTGCACGCAGAGGTCAAGACCTTGGCGAGCTTGTCGTTCTCCAAAACACAGGTTTTACCTCCGCAACTCTCACTGGTTGCAGAGCAACGTGTGGCTTGCCTTGCTTCCAGGTGTTTCCGGGGCCGGGTGTGCAGCAACCGGAGGCCGCAGGCCTTGCACTCAACGGTGGCCCCTTTCCATTCCCACTCATGCGCCAGGTCAGTCTGGCCAGCAAGCGGCTGGAAAATACAGCCACGGTTTGGCGAGTGCTTGGCGGTGACCCCAGTCAATGTTAGCGCCCGGTCGCTCTCTGCAGAGCCTCTGGCGCACGTTCGGGGGGGCATTAGGCTGCTCTTTGATGTCCTTGTAGACCGGGTCCTGGCCCTTTCCAGCGGATTGAAGCATGGTTTGCCCTCGCAAACTCAAATGTGCCATGACGCGCCTGCGCTTTGCATCGTTAGCTGCTAGCGTTGTGGCAACATGCTCATCCACCTCAACTATGGTAGTGAAACACCTCAGGCAGTGTCCGCCATCTGGTCTGCGTGGAGTTTCCAAAGGTCATCAGGGCCACAAAGTTTGGCAAAAGTTTCCTCGTGCTTGTGTGAGGGAACCCAGTGCCACTACGCTTTTCCACCCCTGCACAGTCCAGCGTGCACATCTCACGGCGGAAATCTGTCGGTTTCCCTGGCACCCGTGCGGTGATGCAGCCAACTTGGCGCACTTCCTCACGTTCCCGAATGAAGGCCGCGACACTGACACCTACACGACGCAGTCTTGCATCCTTGGTGTGTTTACCTCCGCTGGCGTCTGTGGCATAGACGAGGTCCGAATTTTGAAGGGTAACACCTTCGGCAAAGACTTCTTCGTAGTGCACCTCCGTAGTAATGGAAAACTAAGGCACTGTGTGGCGGGTGGCACCGACCAAACCTCGGAGCCAGAACCCCTGCAGCCCGGTAGCCCGACCTTGTTTGAACCACTCGGGCTCTGGCAGGTTCTTGGTTTGCCACCAGTCGCACTCGAAGATGACGTGCTCCCCCGTACAGGGAGTTGCACAAAGGGGGCACCGCTTGACGCCTCCAGCTTTGTCGTGCCTTGCCAGACTGCCTACAGGCCCTGAACCTGGGTTGGGCTCTTTTGCTTGCGGTTAGAGGAGCTTCCTGCCTTGTTGCCAGACCAGACCTAGGCGGAGGCTAGGGCAACCCACTCTAAGCTGGACCTCCTTCTGACGCGCTTCCTCGGCCGTGAGTTTGAGCTGCTCCAGGACCAAAGCCTGTTGGTGCTTGTTCAGGACGTTGTAGGTGTGGTGGTGCCTTTCCTGCCAAAAGAAGGGTTCGGGCGTGGTCCAACGATGGTCATACGCCACCATGGACGACAAGGGGTCCTTGAGATTGTACCAGCGCCGGCTGAGCATGGCGGATGCTATAAAGGGACGAGAAGGTTGCACCCGCTACCCTTGGCCAAGCGTTGTTTTGGACCTTAACTCGCCTGAGGCGCCCAGGGCACAGTCCAGACCGAGGTTTCTCATGCTGGCATAGATGCCCGGGTCCGTGTCTGCACGATTTCGGGCCAGACACTTGCGTACCTCAGCACTTGAGCAGACAAAGCCCGTTTTGGCAATACTCAGCTGGAGCTTGCTTTGCACGAACAGGTAATGCAGATGGCGGCCTTGAAGGGCATGTTCGGCTGTTTTTTTCTGGGACCCGATCACCAAGTCAACCCCTATGTCGCCAACCCAGCTGTCTGCTGTCTCTAGACCGGCGAGGTGCATTACCTCCTGGACGATAGGTCCTAGGTAGATCCTGGCCATCATGGTCGCTAAAGGGCAGCCTGCTAGGATTCCTCTGGCCGACTTTATGGCCTGCAACATTTGGTCCTCAGCGACCCGGTATGGTACACGTGGACTGCCAAAAGCACGATCCTAGACGGGAAACTTGCCTCCAAGATACATTGCTCGAGCAAAGCATTGTGGATGCAGTAGTCATAGAAGGTTTGCAGGTCTAGCAGGACGGCCACCAAGTGTCGCTGGTTCTCCCCCCTTAGAAGGCGGCCCAGGCCATCACGCATCCGCTGGTTGAGAACATCTCTTCGGCAGAAACACCAAAGCCGGTAAGCAACCGACGTTAAGGTGATTGGCCACTCCACGTCAGGTTTCTTGGGCAAGAGGGCAACTTGGTGCTCTGGAGGGAAACCCTCCTCCTCAACCTGGTTGAAGAAGGACGCTAAACCCTCCACACCTTCAGGAGAAAGGTTCTAAGCATGGTGTTGTACGCGAGCCCGTCAGGTCCTCCCGAACCATTGTGAGGTGGTGTGTTTACCTCCGCTGGCGTCATAGACAAGGTCCGAGTTTTGAAGGGTAACACCTTCGGCCAAGACTCCTTCGTAGTGCACCTCCGTAGTAGTGGAAAATAGGGCATGGTAGGGCACTGTGTGGCGGGTGGCACCGACCAAACCTCGGAGCCAGAGCCCCCGCGGCGCGGTAGCCCGACCTTGTTTGAACCACTCAGCCTCTGGCAGGTTCTTGGTTTGCCACCAGTCTCACTCGAACAAAATGCGCTCACGTACAGGGAGTTGCACAAATGGGGCATTGCTTGACGCCTCCAGCTTTGTCGTGCGCCAGAGATCCTTGACAGACCGGCTGCAGGCCCTGAGCCTGGGTTGGGTTCTTTTGCTTGACCGGTTAGAGGAGCTTCCTGCCCCCTTGCCAGTCGAAACCTAGGCGGAGGCTGTTGCAACTCACTCCTCCTTTTGACGTGCTTCCTCGGCCGTGTGTTGGTGCTTGTTCAGGACGTTGTAGGTGCGGTGATGCGTATACTGCAACTATGGTCATGGGACAAGGGGTCCTTGACATTGTACCAGCACCGGCTAGTACCCTGCAACTTGGCCCAAGTGACCTGCCAGGCCCCTTCAAGAGGGGTCGCGTCACCCTTCCATCTCGCCATGGTCTTGAACCACGCGTCCGCTTGCTGCACCGTTAGGTCCACCTCTGGGTCTGTACTTGTCCGCTGCTACCTCGTAGGCAACGTCGGTGTTCCCGAACTTTTGTCGGCCAAGCTGCCGAGCCAACTGAACTCTGATCTGGGCGGCGGGAGACAAACCGCCTGATGCCTCCGGAGCATGGCAGAAGCTACGCCACCCGTGGCCAAGCGTTGGTTTTGGACCTTAACTCGTCTGAGGCGCCCCAGGCCACAGTCTAGACCGAGGCTTCTCATGCTGGAATAGATGCCCGGGTCCGTGTCCGTACCTCAGCACTTGAGCAAACAAAGTCCGTTTTTGCAATCTCAGCTGGGGTTTGCTTTGCACGAGCACGTCATGCAGATGGCTGCAGCCTTGAAGGGCGCGTTCGGCTGCCTTTTCTTTCTTTCTCTGGGATCCTATCAGCAAAGTCAACCCTATGTCGTCTACCCAGGTGTCTGCTGTCTCTAGACCTGCCATCATGGTGGCCAAGGGCAGCCTGCTAGGATTCCTTTGGCCGGGGTTGTGACCTGCGACATTTGGTCTACAGCGACCAGGTAGCGTCGTCCCTGGTACGCGTGGACTGCCAGACTGCCAAGAGAACGATCCTAGGCGGGAAACCTGTACGCTGCTCGAGCAAAGCATCATACAAGGTTTGCAGGTCTAGCAGGACGACCACCAAGTGTCGCTGGTTTGGGGCAGAAGGCTGCCTAGGCCAACCTCAACACAGGTATTACCTGGCTTGGCTTAATCCCATAGATACAGGTGCTTGGTTTCACGCATCCATTGGTTGATGACATCTCTTCGGCAGAAACGACCGGCAAAGCGACACAGACGAACAGAAGGCCTGGAAGGCGTGGAACGACGAGCAAGCAGGAGGGGCCCACCTCGCTTTCCACACCCGAGCGGCGCTCGCAGCAACACCTCTGAACCTGCCAGGTCTCCGGCCAAGGGGGCAAGGGCAAGCGTAAAGGGCAACTGCCTGCTGACACAGGAGCAGCTCTGGAAGCCACCAAACAGCTGTGGGAGACTGCCGACCCGGTGCAGCAAGGCCTCCTTGAAAAGGCAGGACTGGTAAAGCCACACGGGCCAGTGCCGGAGCTGGCCGAGCTTTGCAAGCGGTACGAGGAGACGCTGCTGGAGGAAATCCAGGCAGCCTTGGCCAAGCTAGACGCAGCAGGACCCAAGAAGACACCGCAGCAGCAGCAGCAGCTGAACCAAGCCAGCCGAAACTTCAGGAGCCCAAAAGCTCCGTGCCTCGATCGCGGCCAAGGCGGCACTACAGAGCAGGCTTGACAAGCTGAAGCAGGAGTACACCGAGAGCATTGGCGAGATGAAACGTCTCAACAAGGAGGAAGAAGAGCAGCAGCGAAAGATGGCAGACTTCACGGTCCGTACTGCAGCCCCGGCACCCTTGCCGGACGAGCTGCTGGAAGCCCTCAAGCATGCAGGAGTGAGCGAAGAGCACGTGCAAGCGACGAGGGCTCACCTCGCCAAAGCACCAAAGCCTGAGGCTGCAAACCCTTCCCAGCTTGGACTAACGGCCCCAGACTCCCAGGCAGAAAGGGAGACCAAGAGCGGCAAAGGCGACAGGCGAAGTGAGGAGAGGAGCCGCTCGCCGCCCAAAGACACACCCACCGAGTAGGGCGCTGCCGTGGTGAAGCAGCCCCTAACGTTGCGTTTCCTTCTGTGCAATGTCACGCACTTGGGACCTAGGAAGCCCGGGCCTTAATTGGAGGGCACAGCAGTGGGCGCCCAGGAGCAGCACCAAGCGTACGTGCCAGGCTGCGGGCTGCGAACTCCTCGGCAAGGCGCCGTTACCTCTGTGAGCACTCGCACGAAGGGAGGTACTGCTATCCTCCACCCTGCCAGTGAAAATGTGGTTGTCGAAAGACACTACTGCATCGAAGGGGCGGCTTCACCGCCACAGGGGTTCGTAGAGGGAAGTACGACGTCACTTTGGTTTCCCTTCACCTCAGGGACACTGGGACGGCTGGGCACACCAACAGCAAAGTCCTCGCCGAATTCATTGGATACATCCGCGTGGTCCCACAGCCCTGGATTATAGGAGGTGACTTCAACGGGAGGAAGTGGTGAACACTGAAAATTCCTCAGGTCATGAGAGGTTTTCTCCTCCATCTTGGTGAACCTACTTGCAATACAGGATCTGAGTTGGATTACGTCATCGTTACTAGGTGCCATGACGGGAGGTCCACCCTCCCGGTGTTCTGGACGGCGCCTTGGAAGCCTCACGCAGCGGTTAGTGTGAAAAGCGCAAGGGTTTGTGGCGGCTAACATAATGGGTACAACCCTGGCACTTCAGGCCCGCACATCACAAGTCGATAGAAGGGTGGTGCCGTCTCGGAAAACTTTTAGGAGACCACGCTGGTTGTACCATCCACCAAACTCGTGAAGACTTAAACAAGTTTGCAGCGGTTGCTGTGCCGGCCAAAGGCCAAGAGTACCTGGTGAAGGCCACCCACGCCTAGGTAGTGGAGACCTGGCCGCCCTGGTCTCCAGCAGGAGGTTGGCTCCCTCCACCAAAATGAGGTCAACAGCCAAATTTGGGACCAGCGGGACCAGTGCCAAGCATGGTTGAGGCAAGGAATGCACAAGGGCAGGAGACCCCTGTTCAGGGCCCGTACCAAAGCCGAAAAAGCTTTGGAACGGCCCTTTAAGGACCTCCCTGCAGACGAAACACCGCCAGCGAGGCTCCGCGATTTGGGGTGACCAAGACGCTCCAAACCTGCACTCCGCGAGGCTGCAAAGCAGCAGGCACTTGAGCTGCACAAAGGGCCAAAACTCGCAAGGGTCCTGACAAAGGTTCCTGGGTACACCAAGGTTTAGCCTCCTTCTTCAACCAGGTTGAGGAGGGTTTCCCTCCACAGCACTGGACCAAGCACCAAGTTGCCCTCTTGCTGTGGCAATACGTCCGTGCCCCCGCATGGACAAACCGCGTAGAGTCTTCCGGCCATGGCACCCGGCCCGGCTACAGGAGTGAGCTACCGGAGGTAAAACCTCCGGAGCTACCAGACCCTCACTGCCCTCGATCCGCAATGGCCCTGAGCCAAAGCAACTGCAACAACAACAACAACAACAACACCAGCAGCAGCACCAGCAGCAACAACAACAACAACAACAGCAGCAACAACAACAACAACAGCAACAGCAACAGCAACAGCAGCAGCAGCAACAGCAACAGCAACAGCAGGAGCAGCAGCAGCAGCAAAAGCAACCGCATTCGCAACCGCAAACGGGACAACAGCATCAACAGCCGCAGCTCGGTGTCAGCATTTGGAGTGTTGTGGTGGGAGATGTCGTTTTTCGTCGGCATCGTGGCAGAAACACTGGTAGCAGGCTGGCCCAGAATTAATCAAGAACGAAAGTTCCCATCGTAGCCGCCGTAGCATTAACATAAATCGTCTGTGAGTATTATCGCAGCGAGACTACTGTTCCTACTGCATTTCTGGTCCTGCTGTTCGTTTTGCGGTTTGCTACTATGAGTGTCGCCACCATCAACGCTGTCATGTTTCTGATTCTGTGATTCTGCCTCAAGCAGTTGACAAGAGTTCGACTCTCCACCGCCAGCTGTTCTCAAGCTGCCAAGGCTCTCGCATTACAGCCCCAAAGCCTGAACCCACAGCCTTAGGCTGAAGTTGAGTGCCAAGCCAAAGCTCCAGGTGTCACATGTTATCGATTCTTGGGGCTGTCGTCTGTCGTCATTATGCGCCAGCAGCCGACGCATAACGTCAGCCACATTTGCTCCTGGAGCATTTTCGGCCGGCTGGGTCCCCTTCGTGTGTATGGGGTCGGGTTCGCCCCATTGCAATTTCTCTAGGGCGGATTCCCCAAGATATCTCCGAAGCCAAGCGTAGATGATACCTCACTGGGAGCGGCGCCTCCTGGACGTGCGCAAGGTTGCAGCAGTCGCTCGGAGCGCACCCCGTGTTTCAATGGAGCAGTCCGAGTTTCCAAGTGTTTCCTGTCCTTTATGGAAAGCTTTGGATGAGCCCAAGTCTCTGCCAGAACATGCGAGAACTTCGCATATCAGTGTTGCAATTGCCCCAAACAAGCCAAAGCAAATCCGCAATCCTTGAACACACAAAAATCAAAGCACGACGAGTGCATGGCCCTCCTGTTCTCAACCCTGAAGCTTCAGCCCAATCATGAGTCATTCGTTTATCCACTACGCTCGCCACCACGACTCCACAGCAGCAGCTCCTCAAACTTTCATCCATGTCCACGCAAGCACGGCTTCCACCCTCGGCCCCCAGCCACAGCGCTAAGAATCCGATAAGTCGTTACAGCCGGTAGGGGTAGTAGGGGTTGTACTTTCTTGCAAAATACTCCTCATGAACCGCAGTTTGGAGATTGGCGCCACGCGAGTTTGTGTGGACGAGCGACGAGTGGGCTTTCTGATCTCAGGAGCGCGAGGAGAACGCCCGACGTCAGCTGCGGGCCAAGCTCCTCCTGAAGGAAGGTGCGGCCGTGCTTCGGGTACACGGCTTCAGAGTGTTTCGTCAATTCGCTTACCCCATTGCCGTGGTGCTAAAGGGCTACTACAGTGAGTATGCGGTGCATCAACATGCACTTGCTTGTCTTACAGACTGCCACCTCTACTGCGCTGCTACGACAGACCCGACAAGACAACGATAACGGTGGGGAGTGGGACAGGAGGAGAGACAGGGAAGGGAAGGAGAGGAGGAGGGGCTAGGGAGGAAGGCGGGGGGACTGGGATCGGTGAAGAGGTTGCGGGCAGGCTGGATGGCACCCAAATCGGGCGAATTTAGTTAAATCCACAAAACGAGAAAGGTGTTGTGGGGAAGCTGCCACTGTGGGGAGGTGAACCGTCAGGGGGTGGTGAGCGGGAGGATGGGAAGGGAGGAGGATGGGAAGGGGGGAGGGGTGGAGAGGTGGTGGGCTTGGTTGGGGCTGGCACCCAAATCG